CCCAGGGGTAGGTCAGTGCCTGTCGGGTGTGTGCTCTGAGTGCTGCATTCTGCTGCAGACGCTCGCAGGCGTGGCCCTGTGGGGCATGTGATGGGGTGCTGAGTCGGAAAGCCCCGCTGCATGCCGGCCCTTGACCAGATCTGTTCTCTCCTCTCCTTCTGCCTTCCTGCCCCATCCGCCTGCCTGCTCACCTCTGCATGGCAGAAGTCCTCCAGCTCTGCGTCCTCTGAGGCCTCGGAAACCTGCCAGTCTATTAGCGAGTGCAGCTCCCCCACATCGGTCAGTGCTCCCCACCTGCAGGGGTACTCAGGAAAGGACCAGGTCCAACCAGAAGGGTGTGCAAACAGCACCTTCTCCCTACAAGACAAGGCTACTGGGCACCACCTGCAGCCACTCCCCATACACTCACGTCTTTCCCTCCTGGGGCTCCTTTTCCTGCTCCTGGGCCTGGCGGGACTTGGGGTGGGAGGTGGGTCACGGCACCCTCCATTCTCTGCCCTCGGCCATGATTGTGAGCCTGAGGCTCCATATGGGCCTGGAAACCGTGATCCTCAACTCCAGTGAGGGCCCCCTTGGCCATAGGCAGTAGGGCCAAGCATCCTGACCTACCTGCCATACCCTGCAGGACTGGTCCAAGGCTGGGCCGCACGAGCAGCCCTCGGGCACCACCCTGCAGCGGAGGAAGGACCGAGTGGAACTCCTACGAGACACAGAGCCAGGCCCAGCCAGCGGGGGACCCCTGGGACCCAGTGGAGAGGAGGCCCCGAGACCCCGAATGTCACCTGCCACAATTGCAGCCAAGGTAAGCAGCAGCTCCCCAGGCAGCCCAGCCAGGGCCCCACCTTCACTCTCACATCAGTGCCAGGAGGCCTGGTAAGTGGTCACAGGGCCAGTTCTGTCTGTTTGGAGCTGTCTGCAGTCCAGGCTGAGGGGGGAAGCAAGGAGCAAAAATTCAGCCTACAGTCTTGCTACCCCCAGCATGGTGAGGAGGTGTCCCCTGCGGCCAGTGACCTGGCCATGGTGCTGACCCGTGGCCTGAGCCTGGAGCACCAGAAGAGCAGCCGGGACTCGCTGCAGTACTCCAGCGGCTACAGCACGCAGACTACCACGCCCTCATGCTCCGAGGATACCATCCCTTCCCAAGGTAGGCCCCAGGGGCTGGGGGTGGGCAGCTGAGCCTTCACAGTCCCGAGGCCCGAGTCCCATCGTGTCCATGTCCCCTAGGCTCTGACTATGACTGCTACTCAGTGAATGGGGACGCAGACGGCGAGGGCCCACCCGAATTTGACAAGTCATCCACCATCCCTCGCAACAGCAACATTGCCCAGAACTATCGCCGCCTGATCCAGACCAAGCGCCCAGCCTCCACTGCGGGGCTGCCCACCGCTGGGCTGCCCACTGCCTCAGGTGCACCGCCTGGTGTGGCCACCATCCGCCGCACACCCTCCACCAAGCCTACCGTGCGCCGTGCCCTCTCCAGTGCCGGTCCCATCCCCATCCGGCCACCCATCGTCCCTGTAAAGACACCCACGGTGCCCGACTCCCCTGGCTACGTGGGGCCCACGCGGGCGGGCAGTGAGGAGTGCGTCTTCTACACTGATGAGGCTGCCTCACCCCTGGCGCCAGACCTGGCCAAGGCCTCCCCAAAGAGGCTCAGCCTGCCCAACACAGCCTGGGGCAGCCCATCCCCCGAGGCAGCCAGCTACCCTGGGCCGGGGGCCGGGCTGGTGGCCGAGGACGAGGAGCAGCAGCAGCAGCTGGCCGCCAACCGTCACAGCCTGGTGGAGAAGCTTGGGGAGCTGGTGGCCGGCGCCCATGCCCTGGGCGAGGGCCAGTTCCCCTTCCCCACTGCCCTCTCAGCCACCCCTGCGGAGGAGACACCCACCCCACCCCCAGCTGCCACCAGCGACCCCCCAGCTGAAGACATGCTGGTGGCCATCCGGCGCGGGGTGCGGCTCCGCAGGACGGTCACCAATGACAGGTCGGCACCCCGAATCTTGTGATGGCGCCACCCTCCCACCCTCAGAGGGCCCAGGCAAGGCAGGTGGCCTGGCCAGTGGGGGCAACAGCCACTCAGAGCAAAGGCACAGTCAGGAGAGAACAGAGTCAGGCAAGTTTTTTTTTTTCGAAAGTCACACAAGGCAAAGCCACTTTATGGAAAGAGACATTCAGCTTAGATTTCAGCGTTTAAACAGGAAGTGACTTCTTTACCAAACCTCACCAGGATGAAGCCTGCGGGCCTTGAACTGGATTTGGAGCCTGTTTCATATTTTTCTTGCCTACTCTGTCCCTCCTCTTCCTCCTTTTAGGGCCTGACTTTTCCACGTTGTGTGAGCACCAGAATCGTGCTCCCTTCCCACAACAGAGGCTGGGCCCACCTCCCGCCACCCTACCTGCCTAGCTGTGCCCTCAGTGCCACAGCTTAGCTGGCCTGGCTTCTCCCCATCTCCCAAGTTGGCAGCCTCCGGCTTTTCCAGGATGCTGGTCCCTCCTCCCTGACTGGGCTCACTCTTCTTCCCTCCCCCTTCTCTCTGCCTCTCCCAGGCTCCTCTCCATCTGGGAGGCAGAGTGGCTGTGGAGGGACCAGGAGCCCAGTGCACTAAGGTATCTGATCTGACTGGAAAACTCCACAAAGTGGCTGGCAATTTAGGGAGCCAGTTGAAGTTAGGAGCCAGCCTGCCTATAGGGGGAAGGGCCCAAGTCAAGTCTCTTGGGGGTAAATGCAGGGGACCTGCTTGGAGGATGGGAGGATCCTGAGGAAGCATCCCTTTCCCCAAGGTGTGGCTGGGGTTAGGGGGCAGGGTAGGGCTGGGCAGCAGGGAAGTTCAGAGGGTCATCTAGCCAGTCCCCCAGGAGCTACTTTCATATTCCAGCCTCACCTGGTCACATGGAGACAATTTAACTCTGGTGGCACTTTGATCATGGTTTTGGCCACCTTTGGGGGCAGGATTTGGAGCTGGGGCCGGGAAGGTTCTTTTATGAATATATAATAAAATGGAGCTGACTGGACAAGGACTGCGTGTGGGGACAGGGTAGACGGTACAGGGTGTGTCCAAGAGTGCCTGAGGGTCAGGGGGCCCAACAGTGGCTTGGTGGTCCCATGGCAGGAGGAAGAGAGCCAAAAAGCCCCCCCGCCAAGCCAGGGGGCAGCTATTCTCTCCAGCGGCTCAAGCCGAAATGAGGTTGGAGAGGGCTGGGGGCGGGACCTCCTGCTGGTCTGCAGCAGATGGAGTGGGAGTCAGGGAGTAGGGGAGATTGGCTTTGACTCTCTGTTGTCAGAGGAGATGCCATTCCAGGATGGTCCCCGCATCCTGGTCTTGTGCTGGTGGTGGGGGCAGGGAGGGGAGTACACCCTTCCTCACCACCACCTCCCCTCCTCCCACCCCACACCAGTTGTCACGCCAACTCTAAGCAGGTAAAAAGCACGTGTGCCAAGGGCAAGCGGAGGGCTTCCTGTGGCCTAGCAGGGCCGCAGGGCAGGGACCTCCCAGGGTCAGGAGAGCTGGCTTTTCCTGGTCTGGATGGGTTGGGGCTGGGGCGAGTCTCCCAGCACCAGGCTGGAGCTTCTGGTAGTTGTTGTGCTGGGAACTGGGGGCGAGGCAGGGCGGGCCAGTCAGGACTGGGGAACCAAGGGTAGCCCTGAGTGAATGGAGCCCCATGGGCTCCCCGAAAGCGGGTAGAGAATGGTACCTGTAAGTCGCTAGGTCTGAGAAAGGAGCCTTGCTGAGCGCACCTGGAGAAGGGCCCGAGGCGGGAAGGCCTGAAAGGGCCCAGAGAGCAAGTGGCCTATTTGTGAAACCCTTGGAGGGGGGGTTACACTGCCCCCCAACCCCGGGTTTGCCCAGGTGGGCTGAGGTAAGATGCAGGTCATATGATGTTAGCAGGGTAAGGGGCAGTGGGGTGGGGGTATAGCTGAGTCCCCATGAGGAAGAGCTTGCCCCCGGGGGAGGGGAGGGGGCTTCAGAGAGCCAGGGAGGGGATGGGTGTGGCACAGCCGCCCCCCAACCCCATGGTCCCGTGTCTGCCTTCCCCTCTAAGCCACCCCAGGGCTGTACATAATTCCTCCATCCCCTTGACCAACTCTCGTCCATGTAGTAACCACCTCATAGGCCCACCCCTTTGGGATCCCAGCCAACCATCCCACATCACAAAGTTTGTTTTGGGGGACTTTATGTTTGTTTCATTTTTCTTTGTACAGAGAAATATTCTTTTCAAAAGCGTCTTTTGACTGAAGTAACTTTTCTGGTGCTGTTGTTAACTTGTTCCTTTTTTTTAATTTATTTCCCCACCCCAGGCCTCCCCTCCTGGTTCCTACTCACTTTTTTTTCCCTCCACCACCCCACCCCCATCCCATCAGAACCATTTTGTTTCTTTTCTTTTTGTCTGTTTATGGATAAATTATCTTTTCCTCCCCCCCCCCGCCTCCTGCAACCCATCCTCCCCTTGATTTAAATAGTCACTGCTACAAGTAACAAATGCACTGTGAAGATTCCAGTATTAATAAAGTTGTACTGTAACACCCCTGCCTCTGCCTGGCTTACTCCAATGCCGCTTACCTGCCGCCCCCAGCAGCCTCTGCCAGCACTTGCCCTTCCCAGTTCCCGGCCAGGGGTGGGGGGTTCTCTGCAGGGCTCTGTTTGGAGGTGGGCAGGAGTGGCCATATCTTGTGCCAGGACCCATGCTTTTGCCTCAGCTCTGTCCCTGCTTGGGGCAGGCTTGGGACTGCCAGATGGAGGGAGAGAGGGTGGGCCGGTGGCCAGGAGGCACTGACACATCAGGCTTGTTGAGGCTTCATGGGCCGGGGCAGGACTGGAAGAAACAATCCCTCAAATTCCCACCATTCCAGAGCCCTAGTTAAGGCACCACAACCATTCCAAATCTGAATCTTCAGACCCAGACCAGACCAGACCATCCTACTCTTCCTGCCTCCCGTACTTGGCCAACTAGAGGGGAAGGGAAAATGGCCTTCTCAGAGTTCACCCTCACATGAAAACCAAACCAAACCAAAACAAAGCGGGTGTTTAATAGAAAAAAATAAAAGATGTGGCTCTGCCCTCTCCCCAGGCTTTTTGCCCTCTCCTGGCCCTGCTGAGTCATGTCCCCACCATGCCCACCTGGAACAGCTCTTGCCTTTTTGGGCTCAGGAGACAATCAGCACTGCCTTCAGGGAAGAGGAGCTGGGCAGTGCCAGGAGGGGCCACAGGCTCTGTCTTTGTCCACCTTCAGGTGTCCCCAGCCCTCACCACTCCAGGTGAGACCATGTGAGGTACAGAAGATGGGAAGCGGAGCCTTCTCAGGCACAGAATCCCCTCAGAGGAAGCCCCTGACCCTGGGCCTCCTCTCCCAAGAAGTTCTCCCCACCACCACCCAGTGAAGTCTTAGGCCCAGTCCATCTCTTGCAAGAACTCCTTCAGCTGCCTTACCCAGGTCACCATTCAGACCACTCAGGGCAGGAGGCCTTTACCCTCAGCAGCTTCACTGAGCCGGCAGTCTGGCCATGGATCCCGAGGAGCCAGGCAGGGAGGTGAGGGACTGCTGGGGCGGAGGGTACAGCAGGGCAGTCACACAATGTGACAAGGGCTCTGGGCTGTGAGGCTGAGGGCTTGGCACCTCACAGTCCTGCCAATTTAGGACGGAGCTTTGTTTACCTGTAGGGGGGACACACACACACACACACAAAAGACTGCAGGAGTGATCAACACCCTGCCTCGTCCCCAGACCAAGTCACACTGTTTTCATCCCCATATCCAGGGTCCATATCAGCTTCCAAAAATGGCCTGTAGCCCTGGGGAGTAGAGGGCGTGCCGAGGAGGGTCCTGGCTCTGCTCAATGACCTGGGCATGGACACCCAGCCTCCCACCCTCAGCCCCAGCCACAGTTCCTTACAGCAAGAGCAGTACAGCAGCTCCATGACCCGGAAGCAGTTGTCCAAAAGGGCTTTGGGCCGCACCAGCTTCAGGCTTCCTGGGGCACTCAGGAGGGACAACACCGCTTCCACCTGGGGGCTGACCTCCACACCCTGGAAAGGAGGAAACATTTAAAACCACAGATACCACCTCCAGACTGTGAAGAGGCGGGCAACATCCCAGGAGAGCTGTGGGGGCTGTCCTGCCTGGAAGGAGGACAGGACTTCCTGTGACCAGGATGCCTAGGAGCAATTTCTCTCCTTTTTCTTCCTGCAGGTGCCATGTTTCCTGGAAGGGGCCCCTTGACACCCTACACCCAAGCACAACACACAGAGGCTTCTCTCTTTTCCGTCCTGGAGGCAGGCCAGATGGCAAAGAGGTTGGGGCATTCTTGCTGTTTCAACCCAGGCCCAGCCACCACCATATGAGGAGTCCCTGGCCCAGGGACACTGTCCTTCAGGATGCAAAGGCCTTCATCGACTCCAGGGAAGAAGAGGCAGGGCCCTAATGAGGTCAGTTGTATCCTGAGGACACTGAGGCACAAAGCACACTGAAGGGTAGGGTCTCCAGCTCCAAGCTCAGGGGCTTCTGTCCACAACACAACAAAAGGAACATGGTGTGGGGAGCTCCAGGAGCTGTGGGAGGGACTGAGCAGGAGGAATCCTGGGGCCTGAGCTGGGGAAGGACCTTCCTAAAAGTAAAGTGTGCTGGGTTGAATTGCGTGTCCCCCTGCCCCACATCCCCCTAAAAGCTAACCAAGTTCCAACCCCTGGTACCTGTGAATATGACTCTATTTGGAAATAGGGTCTTTGCAGATGTAATTATAGTTAGGGACTCTAGATGAGATCATTCTGGATTTAGGGTTGGCCCTAAATCCAATGACTGGTGTTACTACAAGAGAAAGGACATGGGACAGAGGGAAAGGCCATGGGGAGACAGAGGCAGAGATGGCAGTGATGCTGACACAAGCCAAGAACACCAGCAGCCACCAGAAGCCAGAAGAGGTGGGAAGGATCCTCCCCTGGAGCCTTCAGAGGGAGCATAGCCATGCTGACACTTTGATTTCGGACTTCTGGTCTCCAGAACTGTGATAGAATAATTTTGTTGTTTTAAGCCACCAGCTGTTAGTCATTTGTGATGGCCGCCCTAAAAAAAAACTAATACAGAAAGACTTAGAGAGAGAAGTGAAGATGACGAGAGGAAAGGAAAAGGGACCCATTCCCAAGGCCAACTCCCTAGCAAGGGAGGACCCACTGCCCCATAGATGCTGGTTCTATCTGGAGTAGGCCGTACACCACTAACATTGGGAGAAAGAAGAGGCTGAAAGCTGGTTCAGTCTAAACAGCCTAGGTGGGCAGGGTCTCAGCCTACCCACAGTCTCCCTCCCAGCCCCCAAACCAGCCTCCCAGAGCTCTCCTGAGCAAAGAGCCAGAGATTCTCCTGAGCAAAACTGAGGAGGGAACATGGTCTGTTCTTCAGGTCAGCTCCAACCTACTCTCCCCACAGGCACAACAAAGCCACCAAGGAAATGGCTTGGTCTCCGGGCCTATACCAGAATTGAGTGCCCCTCCCCAAAGTTCTAGGTAGCTGCAAAATCAATTGCTGGCCCCTAAGCCCTGGTGTCATCAGTAGCTCACAGTTGCTGTTGGCTGTTCTCACTGGGAAGTAGGTGGGGGCCTCAGGGCAGGTATGTACCAGGGTCCCAGGGAGGGCTAGGATGGGGAGTAGAGCAAAGTGGGAGTGTGGGGAGGGGGTCCCTTGGCACACACATGGCCTACACGGACACACACGGGTCCCATCACCTTACTATTTAGAATTTTTGGAAGACATATCCCTCAGGCCTCAGATCAATACTGCTGAACAGGCAGTGATCAGGAAACTCTATTATTGTTATTATTATTGTTTATTATTATTATTGTTATTATTATTATTATTATTATTAATTCAAGTCCATTTATCATACAGAAGAGTTTCATTGCCCTAAAATCGCCTGTGCTCCACCTGTTCATCCCTCCTCCCTCCCCTACAAAGGAACATCGTTTCTTAGATGCAGAAACAAAGCAAGAGGAATCAATGACTTGCCCAGGGTTGCAGAGTCTAAGAACAGGGTCTCAGGCTCATCTCTTGCCTCCACAAGCCCACCCCACACCCCCATGTCCCCCACATCTTCCAGGACATGCCAGAACTTTCCATGCATTTACATCCTCCCTCAATAGCCTTTGGCCCCACAAACACACACACACACACACCTGCCCTGCCTGCCTGCATCTCCACACTACTCACCGTGAGGCCTTGCTGGACATCCAGCAGCAGCCTTTGTACCTCCTCCAGGTACTTCCAGGATGGATGGCCCTCGAGCAGAACCTCCTGCACTGACTCGGTAGCACTAAGACTCACCAAGACCCACAGATACCGCAGCTCCTGCTGGCTCACCCGGGCCCTCTGCTGCAGGGACAGGAGAAATTATTGAAACCCCAGACATGGGCCTCTGGGCCCTGCCCCTCACAGCTCAGATCGCACCCCACTCCCCAGATTTGCCCTGCAGAGGGAGCAGACCATGGGTGTCTACTGTGAACAGGGGGCAACCTGGGGCCTGAACCAAGGATGGGCTTGCTTTAGGAGCCAGGAATGACCTCTGGCAACAGTACCTGCCCAGACCAATGTGCCTCTCAGGCAGGGCCCAAGGGATGTCCCTGGAGTCAGGGTTGGGGGAGAGTCTCACCAGCCTGGTGATGTTGGCTATTCGAAGCACCCCCTCATAAGGCACACTGACCCTGTAATTGATGGGGAAGTAGTGTTTCTGGGGAGATACAAGAACAAAGCATGAAGTCAGAGTCAGAAACATCTCAGACAGACTCCCCCAACCTCCCAGAAGAATGTGATGCAGGAGGAAAGGAACCAGGACCAGCCCTCGATGACAGTGTGGGTCCTCTACAGGGAATATATACTTGGCTCCCAACTGTGATAAAGACAGCTCTTTTGTCTGGGACACAGGGAAGGTGAAATAAAACACGTAGTTCCTGTTAAGGCAGAAGTCTCAGGCCAAGATGTAGAATGAGAGACTTACCACCCCAAGAGAACCATATCCTTTCGGGGAGGAAGATGACTTTAAAAGAGTGTTCCAGTTGTAAACTGACTATACTTCAAAAAATATATATTTTAGTAGGGGAGGGTATAGCTCAGTTGGTAGAGCATGCGCCTAGCATGCACAAGTTCCTGGGTTCAATCCCCAGTACCTCCATTAAATAAATAAACAGACAAACAAACAAACCTAATTACCTCCCCCCAAAATAAATTTAAATATATATGTATATTTTAAAAGAAGTTTGTTCTAAAACTTATTATGGTTATGGCTGCATAACTGCAAATATACTAAAAGCCATTGAATTGTACACTTAAATGGGTGAATTGTGTGGTATGTGAATTACATCTCAATAAAGCTGTTGGACAAAAAAGACCTATAGAGCTACATGCCACGTGGTCCACCCTATAAAAAGAATCAAACATTCCAATTTCTAGGTCCTTATCTCCTCTGATAATAATATGTTTAGGGTTCCCCCCAAGGTTTCCTGGAATCCATCCCTGAGTCACTGGGCGAGTGCCACGTGGAGAGGGGATCAAAGGTCAGATCAAGGAGGAGAGGTAGAGGCCCGGGGGATGGATGGCAGGAGAGGGGACAGGAAGTGCAAACCAGGCACATGTGTATAAGATGGAGAAAGGAGGCATGGTAGGCTCAGGGCTGACACAGGCCCCAGGAGACTGAATGTCCAGCTCCTTATGTCCCATGAGCCAAGGGGTGTGGGAAAAGGGATGTAGCAGGTGCCCCTGTGGTTACATTACCATATATTGAAGGCGGTTCCTGTACTGCAGCTTGTCCCGCAGAAAGCCAGTGATGGCACACTCCTCACTCTGAGTCAAGGGCCACAACTCCAATCCCTCGTTCCCCAAGGCCATGCCAAGGAGGATCCCAAGATCTGTGGATCACACCCAACAAGAACACATGAGCCACCTGAACCGCTTCCACATGTCCTTGGGTGCAGAGTTGTGCACACTGTCCTCCCTTCTCCTGGTTACAAGTCCTCATGGGAGGGTCAGGGATGGGGCATAGAGCCCCAAGGAGGCCTTCCCAGCACCGGGAATGCATTCCCTGGGGTCCAGGCTCCAGGACAGCAAGGCCAGGCAAGCATGAGCTGTCCAGCCTGTCCACCCCGACCAGGGCCTGCAGAGCCTCCTCAGGAGCTATGTGCTAGGGTTGGTTTCCAGTCTCCTCCCCACTTCCAACCCATGGGGGAAGCAAAAACTCCCTTCCAGGGCAACCTCTGTTCCTCGCTAGGATTTTCTGCATTTTCCATCTAGAGATTCTGGAGATGTGGATTCTAGTTCCAACTCTCCAAATGACGTTTGGGTGACCCAAGCCATTTTCTTCCTTGCTCTATCTGACCATGGCATGCCTCTCAGTTAGAGGTACCAGCAAGCTTGTAGCAGCCTTTCCAGTTTGGTCTCTCTGCAGGATGCTGAGGGAATCTCACTCAGGCTGTTTGTCTCTTCCCTGCTAACAAACAAGCTGCCACCTTCCAAACGTTACCAGCCTTTCACCACTGGGGGTCACTGTGACTTCAAAAACAGTATGGTTTCTGTCTAACTGAACAGACAAAAAATATGAGAATTTGCAACAAATATGAACAAGGGTTAAGTAGATCAGGGCAGAAAGAACAAAATACAGATGAGCAAGAGACATACCTGAAAACCAATCTTACTAATAAATTCACATTAAAACAATCAGATCCATGTTTCACCTGTTTCAGTGGAAAGTGGGGTTTTTGTTATTGTTGTTGTTTTATTTTATTTTAATAACACTTGGTGTTAGCAAAGTAGTGAGGCAGACACTTTCATCCTGGAAAGCAATTTGGTAATTTTTAATATTAATGAACTTAATAATGTCAACACACTTTGACCCACTAAGCTTCCAAAATGTCCACACCTTTTGACCATTTAAACTCATTTCTAGGAATAAATGTGAAGGAAAAGAAAAAAGAGAGCCATAATTGAAAGGGATTTGTGGAAATCCACTGCAGTATTATTTTATAATAGTGAACATCTGCAAATGGCCTGGATATTCAAAAATAGTGAATGTAGCCAATAAAGATCTCAAAGAATGCTAACAATATGTTTATGTGATAAGAAAAATACTTTTGATATGCTTAGTGAAGTTTTAAAAAGATTGGCTGAACACTCTGTATCTGGGTATAAAAGCATGACTTGAATTTTGTTAATATATATGTGTGTGCATAGAAAATGTAGAGAAAAATATGTACCAAATCTTTTGGGGAGATTTTTATACTCTTCTTTATATTTCATAGGATATATTTCATAGGATATATTTCATATTCTACAAGTAGTATCTATTATTGTTATAGTCAAAAGCAGTCTTTTTCTCTCCTTTTCTTTTCTTTTTTTTTTCCAAAAATAGCCAGGCAGGCTAAGTCATCTCTTTGATCCACCCCTGATTGTGAGTAGGAATTACTGACTGGACTTTACCCACTCACCTTCCTGGCACTTTGGAAGACTTTTGTTCTTAAACCCTCACTGGCCTGGGCTTGCTCACCACCACTTCCCTTCCTCCTCCTCAGTCCTGCTGCCAGGCCTGTGCTCCTGCTGGGCCAGGAGCCCCTCAGGTCTACTCAAGCCCGGGCCCCTTATGGGCTGCAGACCACCAGCCCTTCTCCTCGCAAAAGTCTGACGATATTTTTTGCAAAGCTGCAAATTTGCAATCCATCTTGTACTTCCTTTCTCTCTCTCTCTCCTGATGTTCTCATCCCAGTATTTGGACAAAGGAACCCACCTTGCCCCCTCCCTCCAGAGGTAAGAGGCCTGCAAGATAGAAGAGGCTGCAGAAAGAGTATGACCTTTGTACAGTGACAAATGGGGCTTGCCTACCATCCCCAAATCTGAGCCTGTGTAGGGGGTGAATAGCATCCCCCCAAATTCACATTCACCCTGAACCTCAGAAGCAACCTTATTTGGAAATAGGGTCTTTGCAAGTATTATTAAGAATCTCCAAATGAAATCATCCTGGACTTAAGGTGGGCCCTAAATCCAATTACTGGTGTCCTTACAAGAAGAGGGAAGGACATATCAAGAGAGACCATTCACGTGGCCTTTACAGATGAAGGCAGATTGGAGTGATGCCGCCAAAAGCCAAGGAACGCCAGGAGCCAGCAGAAGCTGGAAGAGACTGGAAAGATCTTCCCCTAGTGCCTTCAGAGAGAGTATAGCCCTGACAACTTGATTTCAGACTTTGGGCCTCCAGAGCTGTGACAGAATACATTTGGGCTGTTTTAAGCCAAGTTTGTGGTAATTTGTTATGGCAGCCACACCTTCTCCAGCACTCCAGCCCCTCTCTGAGTCCCTGATCTGAATCCCTCGCTTCCCCTCACCCCACAGCCAGTCCTTGTCAATCTTGCAATCTGCCTTCACCAGCTTTTCCCCTCTGCCAGGCCTCTTCATTTTCACTTCCATCTCCAGAAGGGACCCTCATTACCTCTTGCCCAGAAGATCACAACAGAGACTCCTGAAAGCACAGCCAGGTTGATCTTCTGAAAGCAGAGTAACTCCCCATCATAGCCCCCACCCCCAGATCACAAACCTTCCAGGGCTCCCTGTTATCTCATGAATTAGTGACTCTTCACCCTGGCTTTCAAGGCCTCAGCTGCCTGTGTCCAAACCAGCTTTCCAGTCTGGCCTCTCACGGTCCCACTGCTCAGCCTTTGCTCAGGCTGTTCCCTCTTCCTGGAAGGAACAGTGTCCTCACCTTGCCATGTCTGCAAGTGTGAACTCCATTACCCCTGACATCATTTCAAGTGGCACCCCAACCTGATATTTCTCCTGCTTCCCCTGCTCATGACTTGGAAGCTTCCAGAACACCGGGTCTGGGCCCTTCCACCCGTTCTGAACATCCTGACCCCTTTGCAGTACCCTCCACAGGGCCAGGGTGGACACAGCTTCTCTGTGAATCCCTTGCAGGATCAGACTCCAAACCTCATTCATTCGGCACACAGTTCCTAGAGCCTAATTCCATGCCAGGTGTTAGAGAAGGATACACAAGATAGCCCAGGTCCTTGTCACTATGGCAGTGCCTCTCCAGTGGGCATGTGGGTGGCACCAGAAAAATATGCTGAATTTGAGTCAATTAAATTGCATCTTGGAGTCTGAAGGGAGCTTGGTCTGGCCTCCCACAAGTAGGCTTTAGAGGCTTCTAGATTCTTTTTCTTTTCTGTCCTCATTTCAACTGTTTTTCTTTTTCCCAACAACACTGTTCTCTTTCTGCTCTTTTTGATTTTGCTCTTTATGAAGGAAGAGGCAGAGGGAACAGGCTGCCCTTCTCTCTACAATTTTACAAGCCCCCACTCTGGCTGGCCACCCCCAGGGAGGCCAGAAATCCTCTCTCTGCCACCTCCACCCCGACCAGACTCCCCAGCACCAATGAGTCTGAGCAGGTGAGATGCTGCCTCCTACCCCCAGTGCCTGCTCTGTCCCTGTGACCCACTGACTGTGCCCACCCAGCCTAAGACTCACACCCACCATGTCCGTCTGAGCTGCAGTCCGCTGGAGACAGGGCAGATGGCAGCGTGGGAGTCCCCAAGGGCACCTGCCACTAAGCTGGGAAGCATCTCAACTTCTCACCAGCAAGAAAGCCCTAGTTGCCATGGTTACTGCAGAGCCGGCTCTAGGCCAAGGCCTCCCCAGGCAGTCCCCACGAACCCCCACCCCAGTACTCACAGCGCAGCCAGACGAGTTCCCGGGGCATGGTGGTGCACTGGGTCCCCCAGAGAGCAGAGGTGGCTTCCCCAGTGGTGTTCTATTCACAGAGGCCCAAGTGGGGCCTACATGGCCTCAGGTCAGCAAAGGTGGCCAAAGTCGAGGAAGGGCTGGTCACAGAGGAGCAGCCCAGCAGCAGGTAGCAGGTGGTCCTGGGCAGGGCTTGTCCTTATCTGCCCGGCAGTGCAGAGGGCAGCTGGGGATCAGTGGTGGTAAGTTCCATTGCAGCCAGGACCTGGCCTGAGACAGCTGCCTCAGGGTCTTCCTTCTGAGCAGGAAAGAGTCCCCAGCAGGCCCCTCGGAATCTGAGGCTGGGTTGTGCTTTCTCTGATTTCTCCGTCTGCAGCTGCTCAGTGTGAAATCTGGCTCTGGAAAGAGAAAGGAGGAGAGAAACCGATTATGTAAGAGTGGTGCTGCCACTCAGCCATCAGCCACAGGCGCGCAGAGCCTACTGTGCAGGCTGCACCCACTGCCTGGCTGGGACCACCTGGGAAGGCCAGAGGCGCGCAGCCCTGCCTGGTAGCTGGCTACTCAGGGACACAGAAATGACTTCAGAACATCCAGAGGGCATCCCTGGCCCCGGAGTGAGTTCCAGTGACACTGACTGACAGCCTGAGGTCAGAACAAAAGCAGGACCAAGGAATGAATGGACTGTATCGGTTAAATAAAGGGAATTTCCTGAATGCGGTAAGACCATATGTTAAAAGTACATGAATAACTTGGGTGGCAGGGAGGTTAAAAAAAGCAAACCATTCACCCCTCTACTCACTTTCAGGCTTAGTCCCATCCTCATTACTCCAAATCTGCTTCCCCTCTTAATGGGGTTGCCAGGCGAAATACCTGTTCCCAGCTGAATCTGAATTTCAGATAAGGTTTTTTTTAGTATAATTATGTCATGAGTACTTTTTTAGTATAAGCATATCCTAAATATTGCATAGGACACACTTACACTACAAAAATATTCATTGCTTATCTGCAATTCCTAATTAACTGGGAGTCTTGTATCTTTATTTGCTAAATTGGCAACCCTATGATAGCAATTCAGTAACTCTTCCTGAGTGCTCATGATGTACTACGCCCAGAGCTAAGGTTTACATTCATTGAATCCTTACAACAATCTTATGGAGTCATAAAGACTCATTTTTATCTATGAGGAAACTGAAGCCCAGAAAGGTTAAGATACTTGTCCAAGGTCACAAAGCTGCTAGTAAGAACTGCAACAGGAGTTCAACCTACATGTAAGTTGCCAGCTGGGCATAGGGGGCTCAGGGCTCACAGTCATCTCATTTATCCCTCACCGGGCTGTCTGAGAAATGGGCTGTTGTCCCCATTTTGCAGGTAAGGAAACTGAGGCTCTGAGAGGCTGAGTTGGCCAGAGACTGGCTGGCTCTGAAGTTCAGCCTCTGATACAATACTGTTCCATTCTCTTGCCTTTCCCCTATTTCCCCTTTGGTCAAGGGAAATGGCCACAGGTTGGTGGCATGAGAAGAAAGTAGGTATGATTTGGGGGTCTTCTCCATTGTGGCATCTGTGGTGTCCCCACAGAATGTATTGGAAGTGCTGGCTCTCACCCATGGAGGTTCCCCGAGACAGGTAGAGCCTCACCCAGAGAACACAGGCTTGTATGAGATCACCCCTGAATTTCAGCTCCTTCTCTAACCTACCCTGGTAATTTCTCTGCTATTACAGCATCACTACAAACACTAACCTAATGGAAACTTTTTGTTATCGTTGCTCATTTTTTTCAGGTTTATAGAGGTATAATTTACCTACAGCAGAATTCACCTTTTTCAGTGTACAATCCCATGGGTTCTGACAAATTTCACAGTGCTATGTAACCACTATAATAATCAAGATATAAAACATTTCTATTCACCCAGAAAATTCCCTCCTGCCACTCTGCAGTCAATCCCTCCTCCCACCCCAACCCCAAGCAACAACCCATGCCTGTCCATCCAGCAGTCTGTGTTTCCAGGATGCCTTATAAATGCAGTCACAGTGCATGGTCTTTTGTGTTGGGCCCCTTTCCCTTAGCAGAATGCATTTGGGATTCATCCAGGACACTGCCTGTGTTGGTTGTTTGTTCTTTTTTCTTGCTGAGTAGTATTCCATTGTGTGGACAGAGCACTGTCTGTCCATCCACCAGTTGAAAGGCATCTGGATTGTTTCCAGCTTTTTGATGATTGTGAATAGAGCCATTACAAGCCTTCACTGATGTGGATGTAATTTCCATTTCTCTTGGGCCTCTCTGTAACCTGGAGGCTCAAGAGCCCTTCAGCACATCTCAGCTCTGCACAGTGTGCACTGGGGCCTGGACAGTGGTATCCTGCTCCCACTGCTGGGGCGTCCCTCAGCCCAGACCTCCCCACACAGATGCACACACCAGAATCAGGCTTGCCATCCCATCCACACCCCATAAAACTCTCCTGACCACCTTCTCATTCAGAGATCTCCCAGAAAGGACCCCACCATGAGCCCTAGACCACCAGCCTGGGATAGAGAAGCTGAGAAAATGAGGAATGGGGTCATGGTCACCTTCATGCAACACCACAGACCCCTAATTCTGCAGGGCCCACCCTTCCACTGAAATGGGGGAGATGTGTGAAGATCAAGAAAGGCACAAAGTGGGAGTTACCCAATGACACAGAAGCCAGAGCCTTCTCTAGGTGTGGAGGGACATGGAGGAAATCACCTAAAAGAGTGGCCTTGCCGAATCCTGGGAGAGCCCAGGGCACCTCTCCCTCTGTCTCTCCCTGGTAGGGAAGAGAGAGGGGGAGGAGTTTGAGAATAGCCTCTCCTGTCCCACCCTAACTCTACCCCAGGGCTTGGAACAGTCCTCAGGAAGCTCAAACAGAGAAAAGTTGTGTAAGAAAGTAAAAGTTGGAGTATGATTCTGCATAGTTTAATTATAAATAGCATTTTCAAAGTCACAGCAAGTAAAAAGTGAATGTTAATTTAATGGAATCATGACTTAAGGATTCTGGTAGGACAAGGGCCTGGGGAGGGTGCACGTGTGTGGAAAGGAAAGCTGTGACAAGGACCTAAATGTTCCCTGGTGGAAGGTCAACAGATAGTGTCTCAAATGGAGAAGTAGCAATAAGAGCATGCTATTTAGAAGGATAAAAACATATACATTGCTTTTAAAAATGTTGAAAGTTGTGTGTCTGGAAAGACAGGTGCCTGCTGTTGCTCATAACAGAGTCATGTTGTACGATTTGATTCTTCAATTCAGGAGCAGATGTAACTTTGAGTGAAAAAAGAGAAACTTCACATTTTAAAAGGCATTTCAATGCTGGAATTGTGTTGCTGTGTCCATCCAGGTCGGGCAGCAAGGACCTGCTCCCCCAGGACCCTCACCTGCCTGCTCTGGCTCCTCCCTCCTCTGCCTGAGAAGGAAGACAGCTCCAGCTCCCCAGGGAGGGAGGCATGGAACCTGAATTGGAGCCCAGCAGTTAAACTCTAGAGCCTGTGCCCAGCCTGAAGAGGAGACGCAGTTTTATGTTAGGACACACACAGCCTAAGTGTCCATGCTATCAGCCGTATGACAAGCCATCCCAACATATAGTGGCTAAAAACAACAGTAAGTTATTACTTTTCACGAATCTATGGATTGGCTGGAACTTGGCTGATCGAGTCCTGATGATAGGTCAGCAGGGTGCTGGCTGGTCTAGCTTGGCCTCAGCTGGGATGACTCATCCTTTAGCCGGCTAGCCTAGGTTTGTTCTAAGAAAAGGAGCAAATAAGGCCATGTTCCTTAAGGCCAAGGCACAGAACAACCACACCACTTCTACCTCATTCTATCAGCCAAAGCAGATTGGGGAGTGGGTGGGCAAGAAACAGACCCCACTCCTTGGTGGAGGGAGTTGCAAAATATCATTGCAAAGGGCATGGATAGGGGTGTGTGTAAAGAAATGGGGCTACTTCTGCAACTAATCTATTATATCTACACAGAGCAATCTTCTCCCCAAAGTGGCCCAGTGGACAGAGCACTGGACTACCTACTCCAGCCTGACCACTTTCCTATAAGCAGGGCAGGGCCACAAGGGCCTCAGAGGCATTCCATGCAAACCCCTGCATCTAGACATGAGAAAACAGGGCTGGGGGAGGGAGCTGTCCCATGGCCTCATGCCCAGCCCCATCCTCCTCCTGTGAATCATGTCACTCAGCCCTTTGAGAATGTGGGAAGGGACATTCTATCAAACAGCCATGAGGAGTGAGTCACAGATGTTCAATTCAAGGAGGCGGTGGAAGAAAAACAGGACTGAGTTCAGGCCACAGAAAAAGAAAGACAAACAACAGCAGAAATAGGAATGATTTATTCTAGTTAACTCCAGTAGCCCAGGATCTATACTTCTAAGCAACATTTCACCCAACCTCTGTTTTACCAGGGGAAAGAGAATTCTAGGCCTGGGGTACATGATAACATAGGACCCACTCTTGGCCACATCTGAGAAGTCAGTCTCACCCACAGAAGTAGACTGAGTCACACTCTGACTGGCTCCCTCAGCTCCCATTCAGTACAATCCAATCTGCAAAGGAGTCTATTTCTACCTCCTTGAATCTGGGCTTGGCCATGTGACTTTTTCTGACCAATGAGATGTGCCTGTTCTTTGGGCTTGTCCTCTCTTGCTGCTGGGAGGGCTTCCTATCATGTGAACAATTCTGGGCTAGCTTCCTACAGGAGGCACTGTTGAGGCCCCAGACACTTCATTTAGGCCATCCTAGACCAGACCATCTGGCCCCAGTTAAGTCAGCCCAGAATCCCACAGAATCGTGAGAAATAATCAATGCTTGTTTATTTTAAACCACTAAGCTTGAGAGTAATTTGTTACACAACATAAGCTAATTGATACAGCCTGGAAGTATACCATCTCTGCAAATGCTCTGTAAAAAGCCTGATCAATTCTAACCCAAAGCATCTTCTGGGAGTGGTTCTGCTGGCTTCTCTCCTCTGAATAAAGTTCAGGCCCTTAGAGGAAAAGATGTGCTTTCACTGCCCTAGGGCCTGACTCAGAACCTTCTGTTGAAAGAGGAACTTTCTGAAATTCAATGCTAATCAAGACTTTTTTCCCCTCTGCCATATTTGATTTATTTTTTAATGTTTTTATTATAGCTTTGTTAAACCCAAACAAGGTAGAATAGTACAATAGACCCCCATACAGCCATTACTCAGCTTCAAAAATTATCAGCAATCTGTCATTCCTCTCTCACCTATCCCTCAACTTTTTCCCTTAGAGTATTTTAAAGCAAATATCAAGTATGCCATTTTTACCAGTATGTAATGATTTTAAAATGCAATCGCATTACTATTATTGCACATTCCCACATCAATAATTCCTTATATCATTTAATAAAAAAAAAGTTCAAA